ATTGCATAATTAGGTCCTTGACCTAACCTGAATTTTGTGTTTTTTTTCGAAGTTCTTCCTTCTGAAGAAAAATACATTTTTCAGTATATGTCCCCAGACTTTGCAATGGTTTGTTCGCACAAGAGCAGCAATGCTACATCTTGCACAGCAAAACCTATCTAATATCTATTTTTAGGTTAATTTAATAATTAATTTTTAATTATTCTATCATCCTAGTTGTACATTGTGTTCATAATTAACCTTCTTTGCTCTTTTTTTGTGTTATACTTGCAGATGGCTTGGAGGAAGTAATGCATGATTTCAGATAAGTGAAATATGCACTTTTCGTAGCGGTTTTTGCACATTTTCATCTTTTATATACATGTGCAAAGATCTCACACAAGAGAGAATTGTAGATGTTCATGGATCAGCCAAGATGATGTTATCTATTGGATGGAAGGATGCAGAAGCACCTATATGAATGCTACTACTTGGCTCTGGATTTTAGATTATACATTTGCATTAGGTAGATTTGCTTTTAGGTTTGAAATATCTTGTATTTGTATGGAGAGAGACTTCCAGAGATTTTTCATGATTTTGTGGTTCTGACATTGATCAGTGGTGACTTTCTATATCATTTTACTTTTTATATTTTTTCTTTGTTTTTCTTTTATTTTTTCTAGACATTGTTTCTGATTTTTTTTCATCATGTGTTACTAAATAATGACAAGAACGCACCAAAAACTTCTTGAATATTGTTTTTTTTCTGAGTATTGGTACCCTAGGAATTCAGTGAAGTTGTTGTTGTTCTGCTCCTTGGAGGATTCCATGGGATAAGGCTTGTGCATACAGCTTCTGAATATTGGTCGTTCCACATCCACAGCATCAGGGAATGAAACGTTCATGATAGCACTACCAAACAGCAGTAGGGAAACTCCCCCCAACGTGGATTTCTTCCCCGGAGGTGGAAGGGGATCGAACTGTCCAAGAAAATCCCGCTGGGGGGTTCTGTGCCCTAGGTTAATTACCCTCTGCTGCCAAAGTAAGCCTAAATCGGTGGATTGGGATGCGATTCCCCTACCCGGAGTTTGGGTTTTCTCTTTCTTTCCTGTTCCTTTTTTCATACAAAACAAAATAAAGCTGCTCATTGCAGTGTGCGGTGTATGGACTTGAGATGCTATGAGTGGTATGTACGATGCTGTCGTTGTGTGATCGATTATGTAGTACCCTCGTGGTTTTCTGTGTGGGAAGAAAAACGGCATTATTCTGTTTCGGAATCCTATGCAAGTTTGACAAAGAATTTTGCTCATTTCAAATAGATATATTGGGAGACAGTTGTGGTGAATATGTCATTATTGAAAATTGAAATTATTTTCCAAAAATATGAGGGCTCCAAGACTTATAGTGTTCACTAAAGAGCTAAAGAGGTGGGAGAAGCGGACATCTATGGCCTTCTGCAATGTGTGTCCAGAGCGCTGCTAAAAATAGAGAGAGAATATTTGGGGTACCGCTCCTCCCACTGCAGCTAGTGGTGCCAATCCTAAGTGAAGCTAAAAAAACATGGAGCGAGGCAAGTACGTTCACCAGTTCAAGGTGAAGCCAAGTCGATAAACAATATTTGATTTGCATGCAGCCGGGAGAGAAAGGAGAAACATGCAAAAGAGAGAGAGGAGATAAAAAGCTAAAAACAAGGGGCCCACTAGTGATGCCTCCCACTGCGACGTAGAGCCATTCTCGTTCTCACGTGTGGAGCTCACGAGTTGACTTCTGGCATCACCACGTTGCAGAAGGCCTAAGGCTTGTTTGTTTAAGGGGTACCTTTTATGCTTTTAACATTAACGTAAAAATCTGGTTTTGTCGTTTCTAACTGTTGGTTTTTTATTATTAAATTTTGTAATAAATTTTTAGCTTCCGGACAAATCAAAAGCCATGAAACCTCTTCACAGCTGCTTTTAGTTTATTTTCTGTGTTTAGACAAAAGTGATGCTCAACGGCAGCCTCAAACAGTCAAACCCTTATCAACCGAGCTTGCATTTTTTTTAAGAAATGGCAGGAGCTTTGCTCAATCATGTAAGGAGAAGCTTGCCTGTACTATATAACAGGTAGCTTTCCTGTCTATCCATTTTTTAAAAAAAAGAGAGAGAAAATGCATAGTTTTGCAAACTTGTGTTACAAAAGAATATAACAATGACACTAGACTAAACTAGGTTTGCCACGAGCCTTCTTCCTGAGGGCCAATTCCTCTTTCCCTGCAAAGCCCTTCTGTTTTGTTATTTCTAGACATCCAAGGAATTATACACTAGGATTACCATCGTTCTCTTTTACAATTCAACTCCTTGTTTTCCATGGCCTATTTAGATACATATAGCTAGTTACTGATTGGGGCTAAAAATTAGCCGAAATTATGGTTGGCTATCTAGTTAACTAACAACTAGTTAAAGACTTGGCTAAAAAGTTAGCCCACCTATTAGCTCTCCTGTTGGGATACAATAGAGCTAATTTTTAGTTAAAGCAATTAATCCTTTAGTAAGGATGCCCACCACTCCTTAATTGTCATAGTTGTGTCCTTATATCATAGCAAGTGTCTGTAAAAAGCCATAGGTACTGTAGGTATCAAAATTATTAGTACCTAAGGTACCATTGCTTAACTCACATGCATGTTCAATGGTACTCCCTCAGTCTAAAAAATGCAATTCTCACTTTTTGAGCTAGAGTCAAACAGTTTAAACTTTGACTAAATTTATATAAAGAAGTACTAGCATTCATGATACAAAATAAATATCATTAGATTAGTTATAGAATATATTTTTATAACAAAATTATTTGAAGACATAAATACTAAATACTATTTACTATAAACTTGGTCAAACTTGAATTAGTTTGACCGACACGAAACCCATAATTGTATTCTTTTATGGACGGAGGGGTACATCTTGTTACCATTTCAAGAACGGTAAAAGACCTCGCTAGAGCGAGAAGGGGTCATTGAACAAAAAGAGGGCGGGTTTTTTTATAAATTAAATGGTTTGTTTACAAGATGTTTCTCGTAAAAGATCCATAAGAGGTGAGATAAGAAGAAACGGGTGATATCACAGCAAGTGAGACCCTGTTTGGCAGTTTTGCATAGCTTCACCAACAATTTCATTGGTTGTTGTGAGATAATTTTTGTCAAACATCTTTTTTATGCTCTCATAAAGAAATTGAGAGAGGTGAAGCTAAAAAATAGCTTTTTATAGCTCTCTCATTTTCCTCTCTCAACCATGTATAAAGCAGTTGGTGAAGCTGTTTTGCCAAACGGTTTTTTCAAAACAGATCAACTTCACCGAGAAAGCTGCTCGTAAAACTGTTTTTCAAAAAAACAGTTTCAATAATGAAGCTAAGCTGTGTCAAATAGGGCCATAGTTTTCTCATGTCTAAATTCAAGATGATGTATTCATGTTAGTTAAGGCATATCGTTCTGTTGTAAAAAAAAAAGGCATATCGTTCTAGAATAGATGTCATCCTATCATGCAGACATGCTGTCAAATATCTGGAACTTTGACCGTCATTACATAATACATACTACTAGTATATACCAACCCAAGTGCGAACAAATGGCTTGCTTTTGCGACCTTAAGGTGGCGCCGATTCCGTCAACACATTCCTCGAATCCTCGTGTTTTGACAAAGAGCGTGCAACAATACTTTCTGACGTGTGTTTTCGACGCCGGCCTTATCAACAAAGCTCACTCGACGGACAGAGCCATCCATTGTGGAAAAGCCCGACGACTCGCCCAGCAACTTGAGGCCTCACCAGTCACCACCGGACACCAACGGGGGCAAAGCGTCACCAACCCCGCGTTCACGGCACTCTATTTAAATCCCTTGTTGCTCTAGGATTTTAGCTTAGGGTACGCCACTCAAAAAAAATTATATATAATTCGTTAAATCTATTTTAACAATTCGGTAATAATTGTAAATTTTACAATATGATTTAATAAATTCAAGGATTAGATTCAGACCATCGACTAAATACAATATAAATAGTTCAAATATATGCATAAAAGAGTACCAGAGACTTACAATGCTATTTTTCTCACTGATTTATTCGACGCTTACGAAGGGACATGAATGTCTTGACTATATCATTTTCATCAACTTTAAAAAAAATATCTCGCTCAATGAAAATGACCGGATAATCATTCAAAAGGCTAAACAATAATTTTCTATAAAAACCTGAAGAGCAAAGATTAAATTACCGTAAATATTGCAAACAAGACGTGCGAGAAATAAACGGCGATTCTCCAATTCAGAGCAGGGCGGCACCGACTCGACTCACCCGGTCAGAGCGTCAGGCGCAGGCGGTGTGTTCCTCCGTGCCTCCGTATGCAAATTAGGAAACTGAAATGTCGTGTACAGAGTCGGAGACTCAGAGCGCGCATACCGTATGGGTTCACTTGCCGAGTGGGCTGCGTTACATGGGCCTCCCGTCATCGAGCGATGGTGTCTAGGTATGCTTTTTTTTTTTCTTTTTATAAATACAGCGTAAACACTATATTATATAGTATATATACTCCTTGCCGTCGGTTTTGCAGGGTACGCCGACGCATACCCGGCATAGCCTTAGGCTCCGCCACTGCTTCTTGCCCGCTCGTTCCAGCAACACATGCAGCAGCTCCAGCTACTTGCATCAGCTAAGCAAACAAGGCCTAGCAGGCAACGAGCCAACAAGCTCATCGCAGACCACCAGCCATGGCCTCCACTAACAGCTGGACTGTTGAGATCGTCTCGCCTGTTCCGCGCCGCCGTGATGGACTGGCACACACTGGCCCCCAAGGTCGCCTCTCACGTCGTCGCCAGCGCTCACCCCGTGTGGAAGGCGAGGGCGGCGTCGGCAGCGTCAGGCAGTTCAACTTCACCTTAGGTATGTGTATGTTATGTTCCTGCGAGGATGCCCTGCCATCAAGCAGGTAGCGCTCAGGTAAGTTCAACTTCGCCGATTGATCAAGCGAGCTCGTAATGTGCCACTGCTCCCTGCTGCAGCCATGCCGTTCGGCTTCGTGAAGGAGAGGCTCGAGTTCCTGGGCGTGGACAAGTGCGAGTGCAAGTCGACGCTCGTCGAGGGCTGCGGCATCGGCGTGGCCATCGAGACCGCGGCGTCGCACATCAAGGTGGAGCCCGCGGCCGACGGCGGCAGCGTGGTGAAGGTGGACTCGACGTACAAGCTGCTGCCGGGCGTGGAGGTGAAGGACGAGATCACTAAGGCAAGGAGTCGGTCACCGCCATCTTCAAGGCCGCGGAGGCCTACCTCGTCGCCAACCCGGACGCCTACAACTAAACCATATGATCGGGAATGGATACCTTTTCGTCGTCTTTTGTGTTTTCTACGGCTAAAATAAAACTTCTCTAAGTTGTCTACAATGAGAGGAGAGATCGGAGAGCAGAGCACCGAGCGGAGTACGGAATTGACAAGTGTCAAATGTGTGTGGGTATATTTTGTAAGCTGTTTTTGTTGTGAGTTGATATTACCATGCTTATAGAGTATACCTATATCTATAACTAATACTTAATTAAGAGCCAAAATAATTTCGTCTCTCTCTCACTCCCCACGCGACCGTCCATCTTGTCTCTCACCCCCTCGTCTCTCCTCTTTGGTTTATCGTGTCTCACTCTCACCTTACCCCTCTTTCATACGCCCCGCACTCTCTCCTCCTCTTCATGTTGTCGTCTTACACTTTCGTCATTCTCGTTTCTAGGTTAGAGCCGTAAAACCTTTATTGGCGCCGCACCACTCATGTCATGACCTGGCCGTCGAGCTAGCGCATGTTGTGGTGCCCATGCTGGCATGTTCATCTTCCACATTTTGTAAACTCACAATAGGTGCATACTGCAGTAGCTACTTATTTAAGTTGAGTCAATCTCCTATCAATTTTCACATGTGATTAATGATTTACTAAACTAGCATTTATTATGGGCCATGCCACGATGGCATCATAGGGACTGTGGTGAGCGAGGTTGGAGAACCTTAGGCAGTGGAGGCATCCGACATCGGTGGCGACGCCATTCTTCATACATTGTGTTTTCCTATCACTTTCTCCTTTACAAGTTAGAGCAACATGTCAGACATGGTGTGAAGTCTGATCCTAAACGAATCGAAATGCATGATGCGATCTGTAGAGTACAATCCTAAGACGAATTAGAACATCTAATGTAAAGATTGAATAAGTATCCATGTCTTGAATGTTCATACAAGTTAGAGTAGGCCTAACGTAAAGATTGAATAAGTATCCATGTCTCCAATGTTCATTTGAGTTAGAGCGGTACACATCTAGCAACAGTATAGGATCTGATTTAAGACGAGTTGGAACATATGAAGTTTTTATTGAATAGATTTCTAAGAGCCAAAATTAACAAGAACTCGGAGTGAACACATCTGAACAAAACGGGAAAAGAAAGAAGAACAGAAAAAACATGCAACAGAAAAGAAACAGAAAGACTAAACACAACAGAACGAGTGTACGTCCAAACACTATATAAAGTTTGATTAAAGATGAATTTAAACATACGATGCAATCTCAAACACTATTTAGAATCCGGTATCAAGACAAATTGAAATACACAGCCGATCATTGGATAAATGTCCAAGAAGCACTGGGCACCACACGTTTGTTGATAGATTTTCGAGCTGCAAATCATCTAGATAAACTACACAGTAAGTTATACTTCTTGTTGCGACGCACAAATATGTTTGCTAGTTATGACAAAAAGAAAATTGTTCCTATTTTTTAGGAAAATATTTCTTATAGTTTACGCGATTTTTTTTGGTTTGTAAAATTGTTATATGTTCATGTGAAAATGGTTTATAGCTTCGATAAAAAAATTCCGTTTACTTATTTAGAATGTACTATATACTTATAGTTTTTGTTTATTATTTAGATTTTTTTATTTAAAACCTATGTTGTACTAGGCATTTATAGTGTCCCGAGATAGGTATGAAATTAAGAAGAATAAACAATTAAAAGGGAGAGAAAGAAAAATAATAATATTAAAAAAGAATTTCCCAAAGAAATGTGTGAAAAAACGGGCCAGAAGAAGCCCGTGCCGCCGTGCGGGTGCGCTCTGTCTGCGCCCAACAACCGCTTCCGCTGCGTTACCCCTTCCGTCCGCACTCCGCAGTCAGTCAGCTGCATTCCTCCGCGTGCTGTTCTGTCTGTCACTCTCGCCCCCCTCTCGCTCTCCGACGACTGGTGGGCCGCCGTCATCGCCACCGCCGCCCTAAGCCAGGTGCTGAGGCTTTCGCCGGTCTCTTCGCCGGTCTCTTCACCGGCGACGAGCACCCACCAGGTACTCCCACCCCTTCTCTTCCCTTCAAGCTGTGCGAAGCTGAGCACAGAAACCCTAACCTAAAGCTATTTAGCTATTTGACAAGCTTCCTAACTTCGAAGTGTTTGCAAAAATTATTGGGTGTACATGTGTACATCCATGTCCCTTTACTGGATCCGCCCCTGGGTAAAGACTAAGCTGAAACCATTTGAACAAATTCAGGAATTTCGAGTTAAATCTAATAGCATTGGCGCAATTAACAGCAAGTTGATCAAAAGGAAGCTAATTTCTGCCTCCCCTGCACAAGCAACCCAACCCATCTTTTGAGTAATTTCTAATTTGTATCAAACATTCAGACTATACCTATCCGGTAGATCCCTTTTGTTGTGTCTGGAACCAGATTTGAACTGGCATGGATGTAGACCTTTAAAGATGGTACCAAGCAAAATGAACTTGTAAGAAAATACAGTCTTGTGTGCATAAACTTACCATTTCTTACTGGAAATGAATGATCAAATTATCTCCAATTCAACCAAATTCAAAACAGTTCAATGTGATGGAGCCAACTTGTTGATTATTAAGCACCAAATCATAGAGGTGGAGATAAACTTTTGGGAGTTCTAACTGATGGCCTGTTTGGTACATGTCAATGCTCTGTATATGGTAACACACGAAGCATTTGCTACTAGGATTATCCAAAGCATTATCATATTGCTTGGGATCTGTGAATTGGTTAGTTAACACTGAACTGTATGCTCTAGTGTCATTTAGTGCTCTTGCTCTTATGTTGTACCTTTTCTTGCAGGCCATCCATGATTTTTGCCTACAAAAGGTGATTTAAAAGGGGGAGGATGGAAGAGGAGGGACACCACGGAGTTGTTTTGGCATGCAGCATCTGTGGGTTCCTCTTCGCTGTCCTTAGCCCTCTCAGCTTTTGGGTTCTATGGGCTGTGAATTGGAGGCCATGGAGGTTATACAGGTATGCTGCAGAAGTTTTATATCTTTCTCTATCGGGCTCAACTAGTATTTTACTATTTTTGTTGCCTGAGTTCTCGCTAAAATTGCATGTCTTTTCTTTGTACAATTGATTATCATAAACAAAGCAGGAAACCCTTTTTTTTTGTATTAGGGATATTAGATCTTTGCTTCCTATATTTGTTTGTTCACTTCCGCAAGGTCCATCTTTATAATAGTATACTTTTATGCTCATAGTGAAATGGCTGTGGCATTTTCAGACAACCTATAAAATTTGTTTTTTTTTCTTATACAGTTATGTTGGAGATCTCTAAGTATCCATCTAGTTCTTGGATGTGTTGTTCCACAATGCAAGTCAATTGGGGAAATTAACACTTTAACAGTTCTCTACCCGTGCTTTATACTTGATAGAGTCATGAGGTTGAGTTGTCATAGTATGCCATCCTATAGGGACACAGGTGGTAGGATGGTCCAATTGTTACGCCCCATAGTCCAACCAGCTCTAGTGAACTACACATTTCCACCAACCCACTTACGTCTCCATCCTCGCTTCATGTAAAAGGTTTAACCTAGTGTTGGTGGTATGGACTCTAGAAGCCTTATATGATAGTCTAACCCACCCTTACAAAGCAATGTGGGACTAAACCCCTGAAATCTCACATCAACACACAACATGGGCCACCATTGGTTAAATTCGAGCTGGGCCAGTTGTCACACTGATGTTATCAGCTATTCCTTTGGTTTTGTGACTGAGTGGTTTATGTGCATTGTGGACTTATGTTATATTGTGAGCTGTGAAGTGGAGGGATTAGTGGGTTTGGTATGAGTAACGAAGTACACCATCATACTTTCTGGTTCTGTCAAACACTCTGTTTCATGTATAAAATTGTTACTAACCGAAGGAGACGTGCGTGAAGAAGTCGATCCGCGCATGGAGACGCGCGTGAAGAAGACCACGCGTGAAGAAGACCGCGGGCGACGGGCGGAGGTCACACGGTGACGGGCTGCACGGAGTGACGGCGCGACGATGGGCAGAGGAGCGCGGACGAAGGGGATCCCGACGGAGGATGATGGTGCCGGCGGCCGACTAGATCTGGATCTGACGAAACATGAGTTGCTGGCTTGCTGCTATGAATGGATTGCTGCTGCATGACGACGGACGCGACGAAAAAGAAAAAGAAAATCGACGATGGGGGCTGCCCCCGGGAGCAGGGACTGATCCTCCCGGGGGAAGCGCAGCGAGGATGAAGGGTGGTGGCTGGATCTAAATCTAGAGCTTTGGTGCCATGTTGCGAATAAAGGGAGACTCAACACGATAATTGTATTGAGGCCTAAAGGGGACTATATAGAGAGTACATGAGGGACACAGGAAGAAAACCCTAGACTGGGAGATTACACTAATACCCTTGACTATTATACCTTAACAGTGATTAGCGAGGATGATCTCTCCATTAGAGGAGATAGTAATATATAGAGCACCTCATGAGCCGTATGAACCACTTAACAAAAATATGGCTTTGAACTTATGCCGTGTTACATGTTATCAGAAAAACTTACCATATAAATACTGATGTTAAAGTTATCTATTGTTTTTATGCATATTTATTTATTTTTTTATTGTGTTCACATTGCCCTGACTGGGTTGTCTTATTTCTGTCTCAATCTGCTAACTTTTTTCCTTCTGTTTTGTGACTCAGTTGGATATATGCAAGGAAATGGCCAACATATGTGCAAGGACCTCAACTAAGCACACTTTGCAGCCTTTTGACTCTTTTTGCATGGCTTCTTGTCATTTCCCCTATAGCAGTTCTGCTCATGTGGGGAAGCATCCTTATTGCTCTTCTGGAAAGGAACATAATTGGTTTAGCTGTTATAATGGCGGGTGTTGCTTTGCTTCTGTCATTCTACTCTATAATGCTCTGGTGGAGAACACAATGGCAAAGCTCAAGTATGCTATCTTTGCTTTATCTTGATTAACTTAACATTTATTTCTCTTGACGACTAGAATCCATGTAACAATATTTATATGTCCACACTTAGTTGCTGGTCAAAGGTTCATGAATTAAAAATTTCAACCAACATAGGAGGAACTAAGTGGCATTATAAATAAGAAGAAATAGGCGAAGACTCGAATCTGGGTGGTGGGCTTGTACACCGAGACGTCCCATCAACTAAGCTAGGCTCAATTCTTATGGGTTCATGGTCTGATATTTTGAAAAGTGGTGTTCACCTATAATTATTTCACCAAGAAATTTGTTACCTCATTTGATTTATAAAGAATACTGTTACAAAACATGTTTTTTTTTTTCCTCGAACACACATGAAAGCTGCATGCCATTATATTAAGAAGAAGCGGGGATTTAGAAACCTTGTACAAATCACCACAGTGATTGCGGCACACCTGACAAACAAAACAGACAGATCTAACAAAAAAACTAAGCTCCTGGAGGGCGCAAGGGTGGGGAGGTAAGAAACACCTCAAGCACCAGCCAAACTCCAAAATCTCATCTCTTCTAAAGCAAGAGACACATTAGACCGGACGGGAGAGACGCCGTCGAAGACACAGTGATTGCGGTGAGTCCAGAGAGCCCAAGCTCCCCAAATGATGACTGAATTCAAACCTCTCAGGACATGCCCATCAACTCCGCCATTGGTTTGAGCCCACCAGTCATCAAAGGAAGTTGCAAAACATGTTCATTGTCATCAAAGATTGCCCTATAAGATATTTGCAACCAAAATAATGAATGACACACTAAGCTTGGAGTCCTTGGGGGTTTACCTGTTATCAGCACATCATTTAAAACGTTTCTAAAATGCGATTTGAAGTGTTTTCAGTAGTTTCTCCAGACTTCTAGCTGTTTATTCAATATGTGTTTTGGGCCCCTCTGTTGTCTCTGTCATTATTGATCTTGTTGTATTAACTAATGACATGTTTGTTGCAGAGGCTGTTGCTTACCTTCTCCTCCTGGCAGTAGGCCTACTATGTGCCTACGACTTTTGTGCTATTTATGTGACAGCTGGTGCTAGTGCTTCCGAGCTTAATTCTCCATCAGGGTTCTTCTTCGGGGTGTCTGCAATATCATTGGCCATCAATATGCTTTTTATATGTAAAATACTGTTTAATGGTAAAGCTTCTATTGTTCTGTTTTTCACTTGTCTGTGAATATGTTTAACGCATTAATATGGAAACATAGTTAACTTCACCTTCTTGCACATTTTATGCACAGTATTAAGTGGATTTGATGTTGATGAATATGTGCGGAGGTCGTACAAGTTTGCCTATTCTGACTGTGTTGAAGTGGCTCCTGTTTCATGCTCTCCTGAGCCACCAGATCCTAGTGAGTTATACATGACAAAATCCAGCAGGTGCCACTTTTATTTTTCCTTAATCATACAGTCTTGTATATTTTCTATACCTATTAATACTGTTTTACTTGTAAGTTTATTTTTTGAGGAATGGTTTTTCCACAATATATGTCAACAGGCAAAATCAGGAGTGTAAGCTTTAACAAAGTTCCAGCTACCCTCACTGGATAGGATTTAGTGACCAAAATTTAAGAACAGTAGAGAAGGTTCAAAGCTTTTTATTTTTTTCACTATTGTGTTTTTGGTCTTTGTGCATGATGTGCTTGGACTTATGGTTATATTGTGAAATGGTGGGCGTCCTAAATTCTATCCATACTTGTGCTTTCAACTCAACTGAGTCACATGTTTCTTTGTATTATCTTTTTCTTCTTTGTCATTTTGATAAAATGTTCACAACTTGTAACCTGGAAATGCAGGGTCTTGCATTTAGGGCTTCTCTACATTAGCTCGCTGCTTGTGCTTGTTGCCTATTCCATCTTGTATGGTCTTACATCAAAAGAAGCTCGTTGGCTGGGTGCTTTAACTTCAGTTGCAGTGGTGATCCTTGGTAATGTTTTTCTTCCTTGCATCATTGAGTTTTCGCTCTGTATCTGTTTCTTGACTTCTTATTTTCCTTTCTACAGACTGGAATCTGGGCTTGTGTTCATTTAGATTTGAGCTTCTTAAAAGTCGGATGATAGTGTTATTTGTGGCTGGAACATCAAGGGCTTTCCTTATATCCTTCGGAGTGCATTACTGGTTTGTATTCAATATTCATCTCTTTCTTTGTATTGATAAACATTTGAGACCTAGTATTCTTCTGCCTCTTTGCTAACTAGAAGGTGTTACATTAGGTACCTTGGCCATTGCATCAGTTATGCTTTTGTAGCATCTGTGCTTTTATCTGCTGCTGTCTCTTCCTGGCTTTCTATTTCAAACCCCTCAGTTGCAAGGATAGACGCTCTAAGAAGTACAGTTATAAAGCTGCGAGAGGGATTTCGAAGAAAAGGACAGAATAGTTCTTCAAATTCATCAGAAGGCTGTGGCTCTAGTGTGAAGCGTAGTAGCGGTAGTGTTGAAGCTGGTCAAAATGGTAATGCAACGGATTCTATGTACAGAAGCAACTCACAAAGCGATGGTGTCAATTGGAGCAGTATTCCTTTTGACCGATCAAACAGTTGTCAAGAAGGCCGGAGCTCTGACAAGAACATAGATAGTGCACGTGCAAGCTTAGCTCATCGGAGTAATTCATGCCTATCTGCTGTCCAAGACTCTGAAACTGCTGTTGTTTCAATAGATAGGCATGGAGATCCCACTACTTCACTTGTTTGTTCTAGCAGTGGTTTGGAAAGTCATGGCTGTGAGCCTAGTGGATCAGCCACCACCTCAGGTAATCAACAATTATTGGATTTGAACCTGGCAGCGATATTTCAGGACAGATTAAATGACCCAAGGATTTCATCTATGCTAAAAAAGAACGGTGGACTTGGAGACGTAGAACTAGCTAATCTTCTTCAGGATAAAGGATTGGATCCAAATTTTTCCTACATGCTGAAAGACAAAGTTATGGATCCACGGATTTTAGCTTTGCTACAGAGGAGCAGCTTAGATGCAGATAGAGAGCATCAAGATGATGTAGATGTCACAGCTACTGATTCAGATAGATTGGATACCACTATTGCAAACCAGATCTCTCTGTCAGAAGAACTAAGGAGAAGCGGTCTAGAAAAATGGTTGAACATTTCAAGGCTAATATTCCATCATTTAGCTGGATCTCCAATACGTGCTTTTATTGTTTTCACAGTAATGTTCATAATAGAGACTGCTACTGTGGCTATATATCGACCAGAGACCATCAAAGTGATAAATGCAACACATGAACAGGTAATTTTGTTGCAGTGCACTGTAATTCCTTTGAAAGTTTGGCTATTAGTTTGACCAATAGAAGTTTTCTTAATTTGGCAGTTTGAATTTGGTTTCTCGATACTGCTTCTGTCACCAGTTGTCTGCTCCATTATGGCATTCATTTGGTCTCTGCGTGCTGAAGAAATGATGATGACATCCAAGCCCCGGAAGGTGATATGCACTAAAATAAAAATAGTTTCACTATTTGGCATACCCGGATATGATTGTTTTATTAATATGACAACTCTTTACCATATCAGAACCAGCGCCTCATACTGTTTCTGGTTGAACATTTACTATGACTAGCTTCTATGTAGTGTAACATGAATATATATGTGAATGAGAGAATTCATGTATCGAATGTAGTAATTCCTTACCAGTCTGCACATATAATCGCTATGTAGTAGAAAAATAATTACTTTTACCTGGGAGCTAGGTGTGCTGAAACATCTAATCCTGTCTATAATTTTTTCTCAGCTGTAAAATGTATTTATGACATGTGCTTTGTCTTCCTTTAGAGTTTAGATATAATGTTGTATTAGTTGCTATTATTTTAATATTACTAGTCTCAACTATAACAACTTGCCTTTCTTTCAGTATGGTTTCATTGCATGGCTACTGAGCACATGTGTTGGTTTGTTTCTCTCTTTCTTAAGGTACACATACTTCTCTTGCATCTGAAACATATTTACTGTTATATAGTTTTAGTTGATATAAATACTAATTAGCCTTTTGTGCCTAGTTGATTATCTATTTACACAAGGACATCAACTTTTATATGCATAGCAATACATTGTTCCAGTATACTCCCTCCAGTTTGCAAATAGCTGACATTTTTTTTACGACGACACGGTCTCCAAAACATAGCTTTAACCACTATTTTCTACTCCCTTCGTTCCAACTTGTAAGACGTTTTAGCTTTTCTAGATGTATTGCTTTTATTTTGTATCTAGACATAGTGTATATCTAAGTACATAGCAAAAACTACGTATCAAGATTGAAGAAAAACCGAAATGTCTTAGAATTTGGAATGGAGGGAGTATTAGAGTATAAATGAACATCTTAACAAAGGGGTGAGTGTGTGTGCCTATGTGGGTGTGCACGTGCATGTGTTGTAAGGGCTCTTAACCTACACAGCTCTCCTGCATGTTCAAGAAGTACTTTCCAAAAAAAAAATGTATGTATATGAGCTTCAATTTCTAAACTAAATACTTTTTGAAAGTTATTTGTAATAAAAGTTTTTAAAGTTTGACTCAAACCTTGTCCAAAATGGCAGGTATTTGCAAACCGGAGGGGTTAATCATTTGATTTTTTTGGTCTTTTATGTTAGTCATTTTAGTACCGTACTGTCTAGCTCATTTATGCAATACTGTGTCTTAGTTTTTGCACAGCAGAATCGTGTGACTTATTATGTGTTTAGAATGGGCTGATGTAGTTATCAGTGAAAACATGAAGATGTGTTTTTAGAGCATAAAGGTAAGCTGCGCCAGAACTAGACATCAAAAGTGCCATTAAGGCAAGAAAACGGAATGGATGTACCAATTTAGATTGTTTAGCCCATACAAGTAAGCTATACTCTCACTCAGCACCAGAAACAGAAAATATTAAGATACACCGTTCTTTAGTTGGGAACGAAAGGGACCTATATGTTTGGATTGTTCAGTTAATTCTGGTCATTGTGATGTTCCTTAGCTTTTAGATGCTCAATTCACTTAAGGTATCACATGACTTGGCCAAAACAAGCTCTTTGTTTTTCTGGACAGTAGGTTCTTTATATATTCTGATAGGAGGTTCCTTCAGGTGCTCCCACGTAAATCCAAATTCTAAAAAAGGCTAGACATTCACACATTAAGCAGAGAAAAAAGTTTTTTTTTAAAAATATTTTCCTCGTATGTTTCAGCACCTGTACTGCCCCTTACCAAATATCCCTCCTTCCCGGTCATGAATAACCTTACCACACTAGGTTTATTTGTTAAACATAAAGGTCTAGTTTTATCACTCTTCTTTTGTTGAAAAATTGAAATATTTTCCTCTCTGAATTATGGAAAGTTTACTCTTTGTATATCTAGAATACCTATTTATGAGTTCCAAAGCTTTATGTCTGCAATCAATTAATGCATTTTTATTGGTGTACCATATCTGCATTTTGGTCTAAAAGTCATCTGTTTTGCTCTGCAGCAAGTCATCAGTTATATTGGGCTTGTCTCTCACAGTACCACTTATGGTGGCTTGCCTCTCATTTGCTGTTCCCATATGGATGTGTAATGGTTACCGTTTCTGGATTCCTGGAAGGGAGTTCGATACTCGTGAAATTGTTAGTCAAGCTCCAGGAAAGAAAGAGGTTTGTTGTCCAGTTCTTTATCAGTTTTGCAACTAGGGGTTTTCTTGTCACATGCATAAGTAAGTGTAACACTGATCTATTCAATCTCTTTGTTTAGTCAGAAGGGGATACTGGATTGCGAGTTTGTGTCAGTCTAATGTTGAAAACTGGATTTACCTGAATATGTCTATTTGAAGTCAATCTTTTCCTTATATGCATGTCATGTTTGCATGGCCATGTCATGCTAATATAAAAATTGCTGCCTAATTTGTAGCACAGATTTTACTAAGATTATAGTAGATAGTCTAGAATGCATTTCAACCATCCAACATTGGCAATTAAGAAAAAAATATATTAGTGTTGCTTACCGTTTCTTTTTCTGGTTTCAGCGGGCTCTCTTTGTTATCAGCATAGCTGTTTTCACTGCCTCAGTTATTGGCCTTGGTGCAATAGTGTCAGCAAAGCCTTTAGACGCTTTAGGCTATAAAGGGTGGGATGCTGATAACAGCTTCTATTCTCCCTATGCAACATCGATGTATCTTGGATGGGCGTTGTCTTCAACAATTGCTGTGATTACCACGGGGTTGATACCTATTGTTGCTTGGTTTGCAACGTACCGGTTTTCACCTTCATCAGCTATATGTGTTGGCCTCTTTGCAAGTACGTTCATTTTGATCCTTTTTTTTTCAAAAAAATTACTTTGAATGTTGGATAGAACAGATTGCAGCTGTTCTAAGTCATGCTTTTCTGCAGCTGTTCTTGTGTCCTTTTGTGGTGCATCTTACTGGGGAGTGGTAAATTCACGAGAGGATGGTGTGCCTCTAAAGGCTGATTTCCTGGCAGCATTACTTCCCTTGCTTTGCATTCCTGCATTTTTCTCGCTGTTCACTGGGCTGTACAAATGGTATAAAAAAGACTGTCTTTAGCATTTTATTCCCCTCCATATTTCTGATCCACTGAGATCAAAATTACAAATGATTTCAGGAAGGATGATGATTGGAAGATTTCTCGTGGCGTTTACCTTTTTGTTGGCATGGGAATGTTGCTGTTGTTTGGTGCAGTTGCAGCTGTTATTGTCACAATCAGGCCCTGGACTGTAAGTAAAGTTTATGTGACCTGGGACATTAGCTTTCAATTACAATAGGTTTTTTTTCTCGAACAAATTACAATAGGTTATAATTCGTGTGTCATTTTTATACAGGTTGGAGTTGCTTGCCTCGTAGCCATTCTGTTCCTTGTATTTGTTATTGGGGTCATCCACTACTGGACATCTAACAACTTCTATCTAACGAGGACTCAGATGCTGCTTGTTTGTTCCATTGCTTTTCTCCTAGCCTTGGCTGCCTTCCTGATGGTTTTATTTCACGGTGACTGATGATCTTCTTTCTATGTCATCTGTCCTATATTCCACTTTGTTTATTGGTTTGAGTTACTGCTATCATTTAATCTTGTATTTACTTAGCTTATGAACTTTGCAGGAAAGCCTTTTGTTGGAGCATCTATAGGTTATTTCTCATTTATATTTCTTCTCACTGGAAGGGCTTTGACTGTAAGTTTTGCCATACGCTAAGATAACTGTTGGCGACCGCTTGCTAGTTCTCAGTATACTGTAGCATTCTCTTCTAATGCTGAATGGGTGTGCCCTTCTCAGGTCCTTCTATCACCGCCAATTGTAGTGTATTCGCCAAGAGTATTGCCTGTATATGTTTATGATGCTCATGCAGACTCTGCTAAAAATGTTAGGTACAAATATATCCTTTCTCGTGCTACCTGTCTGCCTTTTTTAGTTCAGGGTTGGTCATAATGTATTCTTATTTCAGTTCTGTCACGACCTAAAAGTTCAAGTGTCAGTTGAGAACATGCTCTAACATTATCGTTTTTACAGCTATGCCTTTCTTATTCTGTACGGAATTGCATTAGCAACTGAAGTTTGGGGTGTTATTGCTAGTCTAATAATGAGTCCATCATTTGTTGGGGCTGGCGTTTCTGCTGCTACTCTTGTAATTGCTTTCAGTTTTGCTGTTTCTCGACCATGCCTGACTCTTAAGGTTGGTACTTTGCTGCAGCTAGAACTAGTAAGATATCATGCTCCCTTTTTTATATGATTAATAAATGTGTTATTTTTTATAAAAAAAAATCAATCAGATGATGGAGGATGCAGTTCATTTTCTCAGCAAGGATACAGTTGTGCAAGCGATGTCACGGTCTGCTAATAAAGTATGTTTTATATTTGTATTATTAAGATATTCAACATAAGTTATTTGTGTGCATGCTTTTATACATTTCTCCATTTTAGTTAGAAACATTTCAACCAATCTCTAGTTGCTTGCTTGTTTGCATCTCATGCTGAGATCTAGTTCAGCACTGTTCATTCTTAATCTAACGCATCCATGTTCTGTCATAGTCCTGTCATTGTGTACATTGGGATCTGTGTAAATTACTATTGACAAAATATTTTAAATCTATCTCAGAAGCTCGTCACTTGTAGGATTATCATTGCAATCAGAATCTTTTTAAATAACTCACCATGTCCGGATCTGTACATAACAGTATGTTTTTTTTTTCCAGACTAGAAATGCTATATCTGGGACTTACTCAGCGCCTCAGAGGTCTGCAAGCTCTGCTGCTCTTTTGGTTGGAGATCCTGCTCTTACATTGGACAGGGCTGGGAACTTTGTGCTTCCTAGGGCTGATGTTATGAAGCTGAGAGATCGTTTGAGAAATGAAGAAATTGCTGCAGGATCTTTCTTATGTGGAGTAAAAGATTGTTTAGTAATTTGCCCCCAGTCCCTGTCAAACGTAGATTATCGGAGGAATATGTGTGCCCATGCACGTATTTTGGCTTTGGAAGAAGCAATTGATACGGAATGGGTGTATATGTGGGACAAATTTGGTGGTTATTTACTTCTGTTGCTTGGATTGACTGCCAAAGCTGAACAAATACAGGTACATATTTGGTATGTTCTATAATAATTCTTTTTAAACCCCGATTTGTTAGCAATTAATGGTGTGAAGTATTTCTGTATTGTTTCAGGATGAAGTACGTCTAAGACTCTTTTTGGATAGCATAGGCCTTTCCGATTTGAGTGCCAAAGAAATTAAGAAATGGATGCCCGAAGATCGGAGGCAATTTGAGCTTATTCAAGAAAGGTAATTTTTTGTCTGTTACTATTAGTTATACCATTATTGTATGACGCATATAACAAAAATCATAATGCATCAATTGCTATTCTTTTGTTATTTGTCTACAGTTACATAAGGGAAAAAGAAATGGAAGAGGAGGCTTTGATGCAAAGGCGAGAGGAAGAAGGGAAGGGAAGAGAAAGGAGGAGGGCATTGCTGGAGAGAGAGGAACGAAAATGGAAGGAGCTCGAAATATCATTGCTTTCTTCCATTCCTAATACTGGAAGCAGGGATGCTGCAGCTATGGCAGCAGCTGTCCGAGCTGTTGGAGGTGATTCTGCCCTGGAAGATTCTTTTGCAAGAGATAGGGTCTCTTCAATAGCCAATCACATACGAAAGGCACAATTGGCTCGGCGAGCAGAACAGGTTCTGACCCCTGATTACCCTTAATTTCATCAAGTTATGAAACACAACTGCCATCATTTGAGTGCTGTAGAACTGTAATTTATCTTGGAGTGCATGCCAGGCATAAACATCCCTGGGTACTTTGGCTGTTTTGTGGCTCGCCTGGATTTGGTAATCTGACAACAAATAAGTACTCCCTCCAGTCATTAATAGGTTACGCTACGACACTCCAGAAAAGCACATGAATACATGTCTCTGAGGGGAAATAAGCAGCAAAATAGCCCTTTTTGGCCCCTAATTAATTAAAGTTGGCGGCACATGCAACAGCAAAGGTCAGGCCCAGGCAGCGTGAATACTAATCGAATGGAGTTTCCTGGAATTGCGTTAGTGATGCTGTTAGGGAGGTAACCCATACCTGTGCCCACACACTATCCATCCCTAAATTATCCAATCCAAATATTGAGGGTAATACCCAATGGATATGGATAAACCAATGAGTAATAGATGGAGCTAATCCCCGTTGCTGCCTCCGTCGTGTCATGCCTTCCATGACGTTGCATCATCGGCGCATGCATGCTGTCCATTGCCTTCCTCCATTGGGCTCGTCAATCGTGTACACCGAATGAGGTGCTGAGCACTGACACGCCGTCAGAGTCCGATGCGCTGCAACGTGGATGTGCCCATGCCGGAGATTCCAGGCCCCATGATGTAATCGGCCCGAGGTCTCGACTTGAATACGTGGATAGGAAGGGGGAAGGGGATTCTAGAAGCAGCAGGTTGAGCGCAAGCCGCAATGATGGCTCGACTTGCATGTGGATAGGAAGGAGGATTCTAGAAGCAGCAAGTTGAGTGCAAGCTGCAATGATGGCTGTGAGCTGTGGCTGAGCCTAGTGGAGGCCAAATTGGGCTCCCCCCCTACCGTGTGAAGTTTCCCATTGATGAACTCCTGTATGCTTGCTACTTTACCAATGAACCTGCATGTCCAAATGCATGCAAGCACGCCATTCCATATCCACATTTTAGTTGCCTATTCCTTGGCCTTAGCAATTGTGAAGTTTTTTTTATTACATTTTGACTTTGTCTTCATGTAACAACTGAATTGCCACCCCCACCCCCTTGATTCTACCTCACCTTGTTCCACTGAGTGTGTGTCCGCGGTGGCAGCGCCGGCGGCAAGAACATACTACGAGGTGCTTAGGGTCGGGGCTGGGACGAACAGGGGCGAGATCAAGCCGACGTACCTATGCCTAGTGAGGGAGGTGCACCTAGACGCTGATGGCCACGACGACAAGGGGTTCATCTGCCTGCATGCTGCGTATGCCACCCTTGTGGGCCTCGACGGGCATGACACCGAAGGTTTGTGACCATGCACGTGTGCATGCCTTGGCCATTGACCGCACGCTCGTCGGAGTCCTTGAGAAAGGACATCGGTGGATTTTTTTATTATCTCCAGGAGATCGGTGGATTGGTCGAAAGCAGTTGTTGATATATTGATTGTTTGTGGGTAGGTGGTTAACCGGGTAATATCCGTTATATCCTACCCATACCCATGATTAGATGGGTAACTGATACCCCTAAACTCCACGGGTATTGGTTTGTGTACGTGTATTGGATACCTAGTGGCATCATCAAATTACGTATTTCATTCTACCTCCATCCCATAAAGTGTGTCATTCTAGTTTTGTCCTAAGTCAAACAATCTTAGTCTAATTTTATTGAGAAAAGTACCAATATTTATGAATTATGATACCAAATAAGTATCATTAGATTCATCATGAAATATATTTTCATAGTAAATCTATTTAGTGTCACAAACATTGATAATCTTCTTTACAAATTTGTTCAAACATAGGATAATTTGACTTAGAACAAAACTAGGATGTCACTTTGTGGGACGGAGGTAGTACTAAATAATAGCGTAAGAGTAAAAATATCCCTACCTTAATATCTCAAAACCTGCTGGAATCGACTTCTTAATGACCAGAGGGCGTATCATGGAAAAATTTAAAGATGTTACATAGTCACCGCTGACCTCTGGAAGCCTTCTTGTTTTGCTTTGTTAGTAATGCATTGTACATGTATTCTGTTTTTAGTGTTTTTCTCCAATGCTCGTGTCTCTAATATGGTATGAATGTGGAACAGACTGGTATTCCAGGCACTGTATGCATACTTGATGATGAACCGAGGAGTACTGGTCGTCATTGTGGAGAACTGGACTTGTGCCTCTGTCAAAGTCAAAAGGTTACTTTGTCTATTGCTGTCATGGTTCAACCTGTATCTGGTCCAGTGTGTCTTTTTGGAAGTGAATTCCAAAAGAAGGTTTGCTGGGAAATCTTAGTGGCAGGATCAGAACAGGGAATGGAAGCTGGACAGGTTGGTCTTCGATTAGTGACTAAGGGTGAAAGGATGACTACTGTTGCTAAAGAGTGGAATATTGGTGCGTCTAGTATTGCAGATGGCAGGTACCCCCCTATTCACAACTATTGCATTATGCATAGCAAATAATAGTATTGCAGATGGCAAGTACCCCCCTATTCACAACTATTGCATTATGCATAGCAAATAAAATCAAAAGCAGCACCACCCTGGGGTTGCTTGTTTTTGTTGTTTTGGTACTGGCATGTGTTGGAACTGAGAGTGAGAGGCAGTTAGGGCATACATCCTAACATTAAGCTCTCCTTCTTGTTCAGGAAAAAAAAAACTAATTTTACTTTACTTGCGATGGCAATGCCTGATGCAGGTTTGGTGTCTTACCTGTTGCGAGTATGTGTGGGTTTACTTAAACTTTGGATGGGGATTTTTTTTTGTTGATGAACATTTCTTCAATATTCGTTTTTGAATTATTACTCGTTGGGTTCAGACCTGTTCAATTCTTCTGCATCATAAACTATGGTATTACCATATTTGGAAGCAATTATAGCTGCCATGTAAATTTGCAGGTGGCATCTTGTCACTGTAACTTTAGATGCTGACCTAGGTGAAGCAACTTCTTTCATTGATGGAGTTTATGATGGATATCAGAATGGGTTGCCGTTGCCAACAGATAATGGTATTTGGGAACCTGGGACTGATATTTGGGTTGGTGCTAGGCCACCCACAGACTTAGATGCCTTTGGTAGGTCAGATAGTGAAGGTTCTGACTCAAAGATGCAGATCATGGATGCTTTTCTATGGGGAAGATGTCTCAGTGAAGATGAGGTTACTGTGTTACATACTGCCATGTCTCCTGCTGAGTATGGATTTTTTGACCTTGCACCCGGCGATGCTTGGCATGGAAGTTATTCTGCAAGGGTATTGCTTTTACCTATAAATTCTGCACTTTAGTTTTTTGTCATGTCTTGAATTGGTAGGGAATATGAAACTGAATTTGTTTTCCTTATGTTTCATTCAGGTGGATGACTGGGAAAGTGAAGATGCTTATGAGGTTTATGATCAAGGGGATGTCGAATGGGATGGACAGTACTCAAGTGGTAGGAAACGTCCGGTACATGATGCTGTAGCTATTGACATTGACTCCTTTGCTAGGAGACCAAGAAAACCAAGGTTTGAGACACGTGATGAAGTCAACCAGCGTATGCTTTCTGTTGAAAGGGCTGTCAGGGATGCTCTTGTCGCGAAAGGAGAGAGAAACTTCACTGATCAAGAGTTCCCTCCAGAGGATCGTTCTTTATTTGTAGATCCAATGAATCCACCTCTGAAACTGCAGGTATCGCATGCACATCTCTTGCTTTTGTGAAAGATATTGGTAAGTTCTGACATATGTTTTAATTTGTGAGTTTAGGTTGTTTCTGAATGGATGAGGCCTTCTGACATAGCAAAGGAGATATCGATCAGTTCTCAGCCTTGCTTGTTTTCGGGTTCTGTGAATTCCTCAGATGTGTGTCAGGTATAAATTTTTTGTTTTCTACTTTTGTGCAGCCAGAATTGTGGTAAAGGGGAATTTAGGGCATTGTCATTTATTGCCAGAATTGAGATCCAGTTTACCCAATTGTTGATTTTCAGGGTCGGTTGGGAGACTGTTGGTTCCTAAGTGCAGTCGCAGTTTTAACTGAGATGTCTCGTATATCAGAAGTTATAATCACTCCTGAGTACAACGATGAAGGGATTTACACAGTCAGATTCTGCATTCAGGTATCCAATGTTTAAACTATTTGACTGATAAGTATCTGCTCACTTGGGTTGCTCCTTTTCCATTAATATATTAGCCTTGCGTCATGTGGTTATTATGTTATCTAGGAAGGTTCAGTTGAATAGTTGATTCATTCTGCAAAGTTTATAATACAGTTATCTTAAAATGTTAGACCACAAAATGATCGTGAAGTTTACCATTTAACGATCGTATGTCCAGTTTAACATCAGGGTTCTATTTCTGAAGCAAATGTGTACACCATGCTACATGCATTGATAACATATTTAGCTGTGTTGGAAAAAAAAACAAATTATTTTATTAGAAGTAGTTCATCGGTCTGCAATATTTACTGGAGCAATGCTGGGGTCATCTTGGATGTACACTGCTCAATGGAGATATGTAGTGTATATTACTAAAAATAGTAGCTTAGTTATACTTCACCCCTGCAATGTAAGTACTTTCCTCCCTCATACTTTTTATGGCCCTTCCCTGGGTCCCTCAGTGACACCTATTTAGACCTTTCTATTACTAATCCCATGTAGTTTCCACGTGTTGTTGATATTGATTTCTGGAGTGATATCTTTATATTACAATACAAATTTCTCAATAAAACTTGGCCGTAGTTGGTGTAACCTTTTTTCAGAAGGGAAACTAGTGCACAAGAAGAGCACTTGTATTATGTTTTTATTAGGGTTATCACTAACGCATTGTTTTCCCCTCTGACTCAATATTTAGCTTACATTGTGGAGAGGTTTTGTGAATTATCTTACACTAATTTGATTTTTTTTCTGTATTTTTAAAAACTCTTTTTCTGAGTTATAGTTTTTATTATGTTTTATATTTTCCATAGGGTGAGTGGGTAGCCGTGGTTGTTGATGATTGGATCCCGTGTGAGTCTCCGGGGAAACCAGCATTCGCTACTAGTAGAAAGCAAAATGAGCTTTGGGTATCCATTCTTGAGAAGGCTTATGCAAAACTTCATGGCTCTTATGAGGCATTGGAAGGTGGGCTTGTTCAAGATGCTCTAGTGGATCTCACAGGTGGGGCTGGTGAAGAGATTGATATGCGAAGTCCTCAAGCACAACTTGATCTGGCTAGTGGAAGATTGTGGTCCCAGTTGTTGCATTTCAAACAAGAAGGTTTTCTTCTTGGTGCTGGAAGTCCTTCTGGATCTGATGCTCACATCTCATCAAGTGGCATTGTTCAGGGACATGCGTACTCAATTTTGCAGGTTTGCTCTAGTTTATACAATTATATCTGAGATTTCTGGGTAATTGTCAGCTCTTCACTACTACTGGATAAGTTTACACAATTGTACTATATTTCAGGTAAGAGAAGTTGATGGCCACAAGCTCATCCAAATCAGAAATCCATGGGCAAATGAAGTTGAATGGAATGGACCATGGTCAGACTCTTCACCAGAGTGGACCGAACGAATGAAGCATAAGCTCATGCATGTTCCACAGGTACTTGTCTCTTGATTTAAATTTATTTGCATAAGTCATATCGCACTAGTTGGTGGCAAACCACAGCTTATTGATAATTGAGATAATTCATTGCACCGCTAGTAAACAAAGTGTACCTTGTAAGTTTGATTTCATCTGCAGATCTTGACTCAAATCCCCTTGTCTCTCCATCCTTGCAGTCGAAGAATGGGGTATTCTGGATGTCTTGGCAAGATTTTCAGATTCACTTTCGGTCAATATATGTTTGTCGTGTTTATCCACCTGAGATGCGTTATTCTGTCCATGGGCAATGGCGTGGCTACAATGCAGGTGGTTGCCAAGATTATGACTCATGGCATCAAAATCCACAGTATCGACTTAGAGTAACAGGACGTGATGCACTATACCCTGTTCATGTTTTTATTACCCTTACTCAGGTATGTCCGAACCTGCTTATCAATGTAACACTAGGAGAAGCACAATGATGTTTATCTGCATAAATTTCATGCTTTCCAGGGTGTTGGTTTCTCTAGAAAGACGAATGGTTTCCGTAACTACCAATCTAGTCATGATTCTTCAATGTTTTACATTGGAATGAGGATACTCAAGACACAGGGCTGTCGTGCTGCTTACAATATCTACATGCATGAATCAGCTGGTGGAACAGATTACGTTAACTCAAGAGAGATATCATGTGAACTGGTCTTGGATCCTTATCCCAAAGGGTACACGATTGTGCCAACTACCATCCATCCTGGGGAGGAAGCACCTTTTGTTTTGTCAGTTTTTTCAAAAGCATCAATCAAACTAGAGGCTGTTTAATTCAAGATTGAGATCCCATGTGTTTGGTGGTAGCTGCGTCTGCTGGGCAGGGCTTCTTGTCACCCGTGTAACGCAGGATCCAGCTGTGGGTTCTCAGGAACTAGATAATGGTAAGTGTCTGATTTGACATCCATTGTATTTATTTACCTGGTCCAAAAGTATGAAGTGCTAGTGAACCTAGTATTGTAGGCTCTATCGCCAGGGTGCCCCAATCTACAACCATCCTATAGGCTATATTTCATTTGTGGCTATATTCTCATCATTCATTCAGATCCAAAATGAAGGAGTTTGACTAACTGGCCTTATAACCGTTTCAGGGTATAGGAATTGCCTCTTGGACAACTTCAATCAATCTTGCTGCCTGCAAGTACATAAGTTTGGTTGCTTGTTGCAGAGCTGACAAAAGGCAATGCTTCTTGTGCTCAAGGGAAGGAGAGAAGGCAGGATTCATGGTTCTTTGATAGCTGCGCAAAGTGCAGGGTGAGAGGCTTGGTTCAATGTTTGTAGATAGGTGGTAACTGACATTTAGACCTGGTAGCCCATCCTTTGTATAGGGGTCCCGTTTACCCTGTAAATGCTATAGAGTTAGGTTTGGTAGCCTGTTGTTCCTGTTAACGCATAGGGCTCTTATGCAGCTGGGAAATGTCTTGTTAGCAAGCTGCAGTTTTGCTGATTTGAGCGTGTAGTAGTCGGCCATAGTTGTTTCCATTGGTTGCTCTGTATGTAATCGGAATATGATCTCATTCAATGAACCTATTTTTGGGTGCCATGCGAAGCTGTCCAACTGCCTTTGATTCGAGTCTCTTTATGATCACATTATAGCATTATGCTGCTTAGAACCATAAAAGGTTATGAATCGTGGTAGTAAACTTTAGGCCTCGTTTGGTTACGGGAGATTCATTCCTAGCCGAGCGGCATCTTCCTAAACTCGTATAGCGCCGGATCCGTGTTCCATGCGCGGAATGGCCACTTCTGTAACAACCGAACGGAGCCTTAGGGGATTCTGAGATATAGGGGTTGGGATAGGGAAATAAGGGGTAGGATAGATTTGATCCCATGTTTCTTTTTCCATTTAAAATGAATGAGATATAATTTTTTAGAGTTTTAATCATATCTTTATTAAAATAACATATATAGGGAAAGCCATCTTTAAAATCATCCTTATGATGATCAAAGTTGTCAGGTTTGATAGTTTTTTTTTTGCGATCGGGTTAGACCCGTTTTCCATTAAGAGGAAAGAAGTTTTAATCCGTTACGAAGATACCGGACGATGCCGGCGAGAAGCCAACATCACAGCCTGCGACTGACCTAACTACCCAATTCCTTTTCGATATTACATTGGGATGTAATTTTGCGACCAAATATTATGACCTAATAAGGGTAACGCCTAGGCGGCGTAAACGGCCCTAGAGGCCCGCTGCTTCCTGCCTGGAAATAGAACCTGCATGGCCTCCCGTGTTGACGAGGATAGCGGCAGCTTGAAGGCTGTCTGGAACTCCTGAAACGAAGCCTCGTCAGGGAGCTGTGTCTCCACCTCAACGCCAAGGCGCTTCATCATCACCTTCCTCGCTTGCGCCTCAGGCTTTTGCTCCCTGTACTTGCTCTTCGCAGCTAGGCGAGCGCTCCGTTTGGGGACGAGCTCATCATCCTCAATTGCCCGAGCCCTTGCTGACCTGGTGACCCACAAGCGTGGCGGCGACGAGAGGATGGGCTGCGACAGTGGCTTCCTAAAGGTGGAGATAATGTCATCGACCGACATCAGTTGCAGCGGAGACATCGGAGTGTGGATAGCTGCATCGTCGACGAACTCACGACAATCGATGGGCTGAGGCGAAGTATCCAAGACTGCATCACCCCCGAGCTCGGAGGCCTCGACAGTTTGAGGCGTGGACAAGGGTGCCCCAGCCTGCTCAGGTCCGGCGATCTCAACGGATAAAACCGGAGACTCCTCCCCCAACTCCAGCGCCATGGGGTGCGGCCTAAGAGAGTTGTGGCTGGATCCACAGTCATCAGGGCCCGAGAGGCACAGATCCACCGCCAGGGCCATCTCTGAAATATGTGGGCCAGCCTGGTCCCTATTAAACGCGCATCCGAAAAGAAAGTCAGGGCCATCACAGGGCCCAGTTGGGACACAGGTCACCCGGCCCGTCATCGGCTCAAACTCCGCCTCTAGGGCAGACCCCACCATGCCAAGGTGACGAGTGTGCGACACTCGCCCCGCGCGCGATCGATGTCGATGGAGAGAGGTCGTGCGCCGCTATCGCTGACAACTTTCCGCGACGTGCACAACAATGCCTCAATAAGCATCGGGTCGATCGCTGCCAGTTTGATAGGAGAGGGCGAGCTAGGGCGCCAGAGCGCGAAGTCAAACTGGTTGTCCACGAACGGTTCGACACACGTCGCTCGCGTGGCGAAAACCGCGCTGACGCATCCAAAGCAGGGCATGGCGCTGCGCAGCGATACGACTGGGCACATCAAGTCCCCGACCATGATGGCCTGCCACGACTCCTGTGTATGGAAGGTTGGCTCGTCTGCTTCGGTGGACCGGGTGGTCCACGGTCGTGATGATGCCGGCGGCGCCTCAACCCACTTGAGCAGGGAGCGCGAGATGCGATGTAGGCGCTTGGGCAGAACAGGATCACCAGCAACATTCGCATCACCGCCCGCGTCACCGCTGGTGGCATCTAGGTTCAGCATCGGCCTGCGGCACAGGGCCTGATGTCTCCACAGCCAGCACGTCGACCTGAGGCTCCGGAGTAGGAGGCCCGCACACCGGTGGCACAGACCGCTCCCTGCCAGTGGAGACAGAGCACACGGAGGTAGTGTCCACCGGTGACCAGCGACTGAGCGAAAGCTGACACCGACGAGCGCCCTGAAGCGACCGAGGGGCACGCCCAGGGGAGCAACCACGCTTGCCCACCCAGCGACTGACAACCGGTGCCTGGGGCAGTCGCGCGCCTGGTGACCGACATCCTTGCAGGTGAAGCACTTGGATTGGAACGTGTAGTCGGCTCGCACGTGGTCGTCGGCAAGGCAATTGAAGCACTTGCCGATCAGGTACGATGGCACCGGTCGACGCGGTGCCACGGCACACCGCCAACGCCTCATGCTGTGCACCTGAAGCCATCCTCGTCTGGCTGGACCGACATGCATGCCAGGTGGATGACGATAGATGCCAGCCGGCAAGGGCGGTACGTCGGTGGCAGCCGCACGCTCGGCTGACGCCCCCGACATGGACGTGGACGATGGCGCCGGCGTTGCAGCCACGACAGCAGAACGGCCTTAGATCATCCAGACGATGGAGTCGTCAAGCGATGCCTCCGAGTCGGTGAAGCACACCCTCTCCTCCGACACCCCGAGAAGTGGCGAAAGGCTCCGCATCGGGGTCGAGTGAGCTCAAACGAAGGACGAAGCTGGCATGAGCTGCCATCACAAGCGGAGGTAGTTGCAGCAGATTAGGATTCCCAGCACTCAAGCAACCTCCTCCTCCTCAACTTCGTCTACCCAGGAACAACGCGAGCAGGAGCCATCAACCCCATTCTTGCTGCCCGCAAGAAGGACATGGCGCGGTAGATCAGGTCCTGGGGAGCGCGGATCTGGGTTTGACAGGATGGGATCCGGGTTGGGTTGGCAGATCGGCGAGGAAGGAGGCGTGGCTGTGCCAGCGTCGCCGGGCGGTGGGTGGGTGGGAGTCATCCCTCCCCCAGCTTGCGGCAGTGGAGCGGTAGGATGTGAGGCCGCGGCGAACGGCTTGGCCAGCAGAGCAACTGCAGACGACGACGGCCTGGCCGGCCGGCTGCCCACCAAAGGGGCGGCTCCATCCCAACCACAGCCTTGCCCGGGGGAAGAAAACCCATCAAATGGCAGATCAACAAGAGGTAGGAGCGGATCTGTAGTTGGAAGAAGGATTTTGGTTAGATCTAGGGAGGGATTGTGGTGGATTTCAGTGATTTTCTAGAGGCAGCGGTCGAGCGCCCGAGGGGAACGGGTGGAGTGCCAATGGCTCCATCCCGCCAGGCTAGGTTTGATAGTTCGATGGCCAAGATATCCGGTTTTGGAATTCGATGGCCAAGATATCTGGGAAAATGACTTCTTTCATTTTGTTAAATAACTTATTACCTGTTTATTTCGGGGCAATCCAAGTTCCAAACACTGTGCACACATTACTTAATTCTGTACGGCATTTTTTCAAATATAAACAGTAGTCACAATAGCCTCCAACCAACAAACTAAACCATGGTACGTACATGTCAGTGCCACATCGACAATGCAGCCCGCCAATTCATACACCGTCTTCCTCCACGCTCGCTCAGTGTATCCTGCCAGACTGGTTCTGCGGCAGCAGCCCCGGGATGAATGGCACGCCGAGGTTTGGGAGCCAGTGCTGGCCCTGGATGAAGCTCTCGACGGTGTACTTCTGCAGCGCGTGCTGGTAGGTGACGTTCTTGACACCCCTCCACTTGACGCGCTTGCTCATGTCGGCGCCAGGCCCGCGGTTCTCCACCTCGGCGTAGTAGCAGGTGTTGAGGCCGAAGTCGCCGAGCCACGGCAGCCACCCCTTCGGGTCGATGAACCCGCCGATCTCCGACTGGATGTAGAGCGTGCGCGAGTGCTCCTTCCACGGCCGCCCCAGGAAGGTCTTGAGCTTGCCGGCGCTCTTCTCGAACTCCGGGTGCGGCTCGATGGTGCAGTTGTGGATGACGGTGCCGCCCGCCGACCGCCGCTCCTTGCGGCCCTGCGCCGTGACGATGTTCTGCTGGTTGTTCATGCACTTGCGCACCTGGATGAGGCAGTTCTGGAAAACCACCTGCGCGTTGCCGAAGATGAAGTCGATGGTGCCCGTGATGACGCAGTCGCGGTAGTACTGCCGGCTCGTGTGCGTGTACAGCGTGTCCTGGTACCCGTCGAACTGGCACTCGTAGAACGCCGACATGTCGCTCTGCACGCGCAGCGCCACCGCCTGGTGGTTCTTGGCGCCCGCCGTGTTCTCCACGCCGATGCCGCGCATCAGGAAGCCGTTCCCAATCGCCTCCATCGTCGCCGTGTCCTTGGTGGTGATGTTCATCATGAAGCTCTTGTCGCCCGTGATCACCGTCTTGGTGGCGCCGTCGCCGATCATCACCAGGTTCGTCACGTTCCGGGGCACGGACACGTACTCCCTGTACGTGCCGGCCTTGACGTACATGACGTACGTGGTGGCGCTCTTCACCGGCACCTTGGCCAGCGCCGCGTTGATGGTCTTGAAGTCGCCGCTGCCGTCCTTGGCCACCGTCACGTCCGGCTTGAAACCCTTCTCGCCGGGGGAGACCTTCAGCAGCCGGCGCTTGGCGTCGGGCATCCACGAGGGCACGCCGCCGGCGTGCTCCGCGAGAAGCCGGCGGTGGAAGCTCGGGATGCCCAGGTTGGCGAGCGTCTCGGAGAACTCGTCCACGAGCGCCAGGATGTTCTCCGTCAGCTCCTGCGAGCTGTTGAGCGCCTTGCGCATCTTGCCCGCCGCGGCCGTGGTCGTGTTCTCGAACCCGTCCAGGCACGTCTCCTGGTACGTGAGCGCGGAGCTGAGCCACGTCCGGAGGTCGTCCACGGCGCTCTTGAAGTTGGTCATCTCGAAGCCGCCCAGCCTGTCGAAGGTGGTCTTGAGGTCGTCGATGGCGTAGTCCAGCAGCTCCCTGCAGTTGTCGAGCGCGCCCGACGTGCGCGGGTCGTTCTTGAGCTCGTTGAGCACGGCGGACTCGCGCACGGCCTTCTCGATCCGGTCGGACGTCACCTTGAAGATTGCCTTGGCCAGGTCCGTCGGGCTGGTGGCGTTCCCGGCCGCCGCCTTGAGCGCCTTCTCGCACGTCTCCCTGTAGTCCACGGGCTGGCAGAAGGACTTGATGGACTTCACCGACGTGGACATCTCGCCCTCGTCCCTGTCGCCATTGCCGCTGCCTCTGAAGGATACGACGCAGATGGTGGCGACCACCGCCACCACCAGGACGGTCGACGCTCCGATGACGGCGCCTTTCATGGTTGGCGACGCAACACCTCACGGCCTATATATGTACTATCTGCGCGCGCGCGCGCACACGCACACAAACACAGTATGGGCCTGTTCGCTGGTTGGTGCTGGTGCTGGTTTGGGCTAGCTGGTGCTGGTTTTTTGTGAGAGGAAAATATTGTTGGCTAGCTGGTTTGGGCTGGCTGAAACTAACAAGCGAACAGGTTGTATGATGTAAATGTAATGCGTTAGGTATTTCGTGCCCCCAACCACACCAATAGAAGGGTCGACAGTCTCTATGTTTTGGTGTGATTGGAGTACCTAGCAAGAGCGTCGAGACGAGTTTTTATACTACTATAGGCAGCGTCAAATTTGGGACAGGGCGAAGAGGACGGTTGTGCATTGGCGTTGGAGCCGAAGTGAAGGGAGAGCCTCACAGCCACACGACGACGGACGGTGGCTATTGGTGTTGCGTTTGTTCAATTTTTTTGTTTGGGATTTTTCTGAAGAGACGATTCGGCCTTTTAGCGGAAATGATCTAAGAGAAGGCCTCGAGTAGCCTGGCCCAGCTAGCGGCAAGCAACAGCGTCGCTGGGCTTGAAGACTAGGAAGGATGAGGCCCATAAACAAATTGGTGAACGCATTCATCCGTACTAGTATAATTTTGCTTATTTTCGTATTCTTCCCAATCAGCAAGGCCTCCTTGTGGTGGAGCCCACCCAGATTTAAGTCCTTAACTTGACATGAGTACTTGTATTTTTCTAAATTTATTCCATGATTTAATGGCACTATGCTTTTAGTGGTAGGCGACGTCCCGTCGACAGCGAGGTGTCTATGGTGACTTTGTAAATCTTGAGATCTGTCAGCTCAGTCCTTCGAAAGTGCTTATAAGTGTAGAGTTTATGTACGTGTGTGTATAGAGGTAAATATGTGTGCATTTTGTGGACGTCTAGTGTGTAATTCTAAAAATAAAAAAAACCATCGCCGCATTGGTCCCAAGCGAATATGTCCCGACTCCAGCGGCTGGGCCCACTGTATTACCACAACATGCAAAGTAGTCATATTTTGATGATACAAAATCTGAAACAGAATATATGGCCCATAACACCAACTATTTATCATGAAAAAAAAATCAACGTGACACAAAATGTCACGCGTAATGAAGCAAAGAAAATATCGATGGACAGTTGCATTTTATCCGTTCGTTCTAACTTTATTTTTATTTTTTTCCCTCTGTACATCCAGCTTAGATTTTTTTAAACGAAATTAAAGGTCTGTTTGACATGGCTCCACTCCTAAACTCCAGCAACGCCATAAAAAATACAGCCAAACACCCCAACTCCGAAACTCTATGGAGCTGCCGACTCTATGGAGCTGTAGTACACATGGAGGTGGAGTTTTGGAGCACCTCTTTTGCAGCTCCAAAACCACTCAATATGAACCTCCTCGTGGAGTTGGTGGAAAATTACCCATCACTGTCACTGATTACACAGAAAAACGGTTCGATTCTATTTCTCCCGAGCCCCCGCGCCGTGACTCCCTCCCTCCCGCGCCGTCGTCTTCCTCCCCCGCCGCCATGGGTGGTCGCCAAGCTCCTCTGCGACCATGCCCTCCCCCTCGCCTCGCCTTACAAAAGCACGCCTGAGCTCCGCAGTAGCACGCCGCCGCCGCCTCTGCCCTCCCCGAGCCCTCTACCTCTCTCCAGCGCTCCAATCACCACCACGGCCGCCATGGCCGAGCGAACGACCGAGTTCTCGATCTCCTCACCAGAGCTCTCCCCCACCCTGATTTTCTTCTCTGTGGGTTCTCAGAGACACCATGAGGTCTACTACTTCGAGCAGCTCCCGGAGGTGTCCTCCCGCACGAGATCCACCGCCAGGCGGCCGTGGCGGGGGCGCGGGTGATCATCATCGAGGCCTGCGCCGTCGAGAAGGTGCGCACCTTCGCCGTCGAGCGCGGCGTGCCCGTGGTCGCCGTCGACGGCGAGTTCGAGGGCTGCCTCCGGCTTTAGGACCTCATTGACTCCGCCGAGCCGCTGACAGAGACGAAACGGAGAGGAAAAGAGGAGAGGAAAAAAATAGATTAGTCACTGACAGTGGGACCCACATAAGCAGGGCAAGAATGGCAATCTACCCTCAAACTCTTTTTTGGAGCTGGGGACACCCTCCCAGCCAAACACCTCCATCAGACAGTTCCAACTCCACCCAGAGCTGGCTCCACCTGGAGTACTAGAGTGGAGCAGCTCCACCCAGAGTTGGAGCCATGCCAAACGGGGCCTAAGATTGTATTGAATAGCGGCTTTACATTCTTTCCGTCTCATGAAGCACGACGGGTGTCACAGGCTCTGTTTTGCGACAAGGACGGAGAACATACAGGGGCTACTGGTGCTGTTCGAGCCTGTACCATCACTTTTCTTTGCGTAGTCAGTGAAAGAGTGGTTGGAACGAAGGATGGTAGCCAGGGTGGCATGTAAACCAATCACACATGCGCAAAAAGTACAGGGCGACCATTGCTATATTTATATCATGCTAACACTCTCCCACAGTCTTATAGGGAGCACAGCGAACGTTACGACTGGATCGAAACTCCTGAAATACAGATGTTGGGAGACCCTTGGTGAAAACGTCGACGTACTGGGATGTCGTGGCATGGAGAACCTGAACCTTACCGAGGGAGACATGCTCCCGAACAAAGTGGAGATCAATCTCAACGTGCTTCGTGCGCTGATGCTAGACCGGATTGGTGCAGAGGTAGACAGCACTGACGTTGTCACAATAAACTAGGGTGACACGGCGAAGGTTGTGGCGAAGCTCGGCAAGTAACTGGCAAAGCCATGAAGCTTTGGCCACACCATTGGCCACGGCTCGATACTCGGCCTTTGCGCTCGACTGGGAGAATGTGTGCTGAGGTTTGGAAGACCAGGACACCATATTGTCACCGAGGAACATTGCGTAGCCAGAGGTCGAGCCACGAGTGTCGGGGCAGCAGGCCCAGTCCGTATCAGTGTAAACAACAAGGTCGGTAGGCGGAGAGCGATGCAGAGTCAAGCCAAGGGAAAGAGTACCCTGTAAGTGTCGTAGTATCCGTTTGAAAGCGGCAAGGTGCGGCTCGCGTGGATCATGCATATAGAGGCATATCTGTTGGACAACATAGGCAATATCCAGACGAGTAAAAGTTAGATACCGTAGTGCACCAGCCAAACTGTGATACTGAGTAGAGTCAGCAACTGGAGGACCGTCGGCGAACAACTTGGAGTGCAGTGTAGGGCTTGCAAGCACTCATCCCGGTGCACTCCAAGATGTAGAGTGTACTACCGCTGAGAGAGGAAAAGACCATCATCGCAGCGGGCGACGGAGACACCAAGGAAGTGATGAAGATGTCCCATGTCAGTCATAGCAAACTCAAGCTAAAGGGCTGCAATATTATGTTGAAGAAACCCAGCTGACAAAGCGGTGAGAACAATGTCATCAACATAGAGTAGCAGATACGTAGTGTCTGATCCCCGGTGATATGTGAACTATGAAGTATCTGACTTGGCCTCAACAAAACCAAGGGACAGGAGATAGGAGGCGAACCTGGTATGCCAAGCATGGGAGACTGCTTCAGACCATAAAGAGACGTGTTGAGCCGACAAACATAATCAGGACAGGACGAATCGACAAATCCAGAAGGCTGCACATAGTAGACTGTCTCCGTCAGAGTGCCATGCAACAATGCATTTTTGACATCCAGCTGATGAATAGGCCAATTTTGAGACAATGCCAGGGACAGAACCACCCGAACTGTTGCTAGTTTCACTACAGGACTGAAAGTCTCATCATAATCAATACTGGGCCGCTGTGTGAATACCCGCAGAACCCAGCGAGCATTATAGCGATCAAGTGAACCAGCAAGAAGTTTGTGGCAATAGATCCATTTATCGGGGACCAGATTTATGCCGGGTGGTCGGGGAACAAGGCACCATGTGTCATTAACGATGAGTGCATCAAACTCAGCTTGCATAGTGGAGTGCCAATTGGGGTCTGAAAGAGCGTCGCAGATGGAGCGAGGCAATAGCAACATGGGCACAGCATGAAGATTCAGACGATCCACAGGCTGAGCGATGCCAGCCTTGCCGCGCGTGCGCATCGGATGCGCGTTGTTGATCGGTGGGATGACGACCGGCCAGGTGGAGGCGGTGCGGCCGAGGCCACGGGTAGCAACCTAGGCGTGAGCCGCAGGGGCAGCGGTACCGACAGCACGGGGTGGCACCGTCGAGGACGAGGCATGGTTGTTGGTGATAGGGACCACGACTTGCGGCAAGGTGGTGGTGGTGCAGTTAGTTCTGCTGGCAGCAACTCGGGACAAAGTGTCCACGGGGCCAGCAGAACCAGCCTAATCTAATGCCTCTCAGGAGTACTTGTCTTACATTAGACAGTAAGTACTCAAGAGAGGACACTAAACTACGCAGTTCTGTCGAGCACACCCCAAGGAAGAACTCGAAAATCCATATTTTTCCATCAGGATCATAAATGAGAGAATAAAGCTTACAACATTCTTAAGTTATTTCTTACATCACTTTATTACAGTACAGAATATTACCATAATTTATTATAACAGCGGAATATAACAATGTTATCAGAGTTACAGAGGAAGCAAGATTAATTTAATGACATGGTGGAGCATTAACATAGAGGACATTTTTATACAAGAGATGCTAGCAGATTTTATATCTTTTCTTATAAAAACCTTTAGTGGGGGTTATAAATAAACACTACGGTCGTAGCGGGAAAGGTATCCTCTCTGAGCCCACCAGGAGGTTTCCACACACAAGAGTCAGCTCTACGTATCCTTCGGTCACCTACAACAGGGGGAATAAAACCCTGAGTACTCGATTGTACTCAGCAAGACTTACCCGACAGGAGGAAAATAAAAGACTCCAAGGATATGAAAGACTATCTGGCTTGTGGGTAATTGCATCTGCAGAAAACATTACTAAATGTACATCCTTATAGTCAATTTTATTCGCAGTCATCATTAGTTCATTAACT